GGCGCCGAGCCTGTTTTTAGTTTTTTGATGAACTTCCATAATAGTTTCCACAGTGTTTGCACTAATTTACATTCCCACCAACAGTGTACAAGGGTTCCCCTTTCTCTACACCCTTGCCAGTATTTATTATTGCCTGTCTTTTTGATAAAAGCCATTTTAACTGTAGTGAGAGGATATCTCATTGTAGTATCAATTTGCATTTCTCTGATGACTAATGTTCTTGAGCATTTTTTCATATACCTGTTGGCCATTTTTATGTCTTCTTTTGAGAAATGACTATTCAGATCCTTTGTTCATTTTTAATAGAATTATTTGATTTTTTCCTATTGAGTTACTGGCGCTCCTTACATATTTTATTTACCCCTTGTCAGAGGGGTTGTTTGCAAATATTTTTACCCATTCTGTTATCATGATTCTGATTGTCAGTAATATTTGGGAATCTCTTATTAAAGATGGCCATCCCTAAAAAAAAAAAAAAAAAGAAACAGAAAATAAAACTAACAGCACAATTTAAACACTCTGGGAAACAGAAAATATCCTACTAACTGCTGATGTTATTCGTTTCTTCTGGACCCAGAGAGGAGTTATCTGTGGAATTTTTAGTCTACACAGGTCATCCCAGTTTAAGCAACCTGGCAGGCCTGAGCTGTCTGACTCTCCAAGTTCTTTGACTATCTACCAGTGCTGTCCAATAGAACTTCTGGCAATTATGGAAATATTTTATATCTATGATGTCCTACACAGCAATTACTAGCCACATGTGCCTATTGAGCCCTTGAAATGTGGCTAGTACTACGGAGGACATAACTTTTAGATTTTATTTCATTTTAATAGGTACACGAGGCTAGTGGCCAATTTATTGGACAGCTGGGGTCTAGACTTCTAAGACCCTTGATTTAAGTAGGACCCTCCCATCTCCTGACCCCACTCACCTCTACCTAGGGGGACCTCTGAAGAGATCAGGGTCACATAGAGCTGATAGGTCAGCTGGGGCACTGAGCCCAGGAAGGCTTGGATCTGTGACATACGTTTGTAGGCATTGCGGTGCATAGCCAGGGTCCGGATGGAGTGGCCCACCTCCCATTCTATCAGCACCTCCTGGCCATCTATTAGCATCTTCTTTCGGATGAGGCTGACATAGGGCTCCTCCTGCCCCTCTTTCTTCCACAGTGTGAGGTACTTAATCATGGCCTCCAAACATCTGCAGAAGTAAAGTATCATGGTAACTTAACTAAAGCTGTCCTGGGAAGGGAGGTTATAATGAGGGGATAAAATAACTTGGGGAGATTGTGTTACTTTTTGCCATTTTCCTTCTTCTCCTCATTTGTCATGAGTCAAAGGGTTGGTCATGTTTTGTACAAGTTACATGAGTCTAACCCTTTTTTGTTCCGTTACTGTCTGATCTAAGAATACCATTTTAGAAGTACTTCTTTTTTTTTTTTGGAGACAGGAGCCTCAAGCTGTTCCCCTGGGTAGAGTGCCATGGCATTTCAGCTTACAGCAACCTCCAACTCCTGGGCTCAAGCGAGTCTCCTGCCTCAGCCTCCCAAGTAGCTGGGACCACAGGCGCCC